AAGAAACTTTTACTTATTTCTCATTTTAATTTACACGTGTCAAAAATAAGTGATCTCATAATGAACATCCATATTTAAAAAAAAAAAAAACTGAAATCGATGATTGTGCACAAGACAAAGAATGATTCTTTCATTATAAACGCTGTAGCATTGCAAACGATTGCACAGTAGGAAGGCGAACAAAGTATTTATCAAGAAATCGTATCTTTAATTATATCCGAACCAGTACAAAATCGGTTAATTTCGAGACGATGAGTCAGTCGATATGAAGAAGAAAAAGAAGAAGAAAAAAAGAAAGAAATTCCTGCCAAGAGAGAATCTACTGTGCAATGGTTCCGAATCAAGACTTACTGAAGATGAAGAGAAGAGACACATATACGAGCACATACACATACACGAACAAACGATCCAACAGCACAGGCGGAGAATTTACGCGACAGCGAGAATCGAGGGGTCTCGTCTGCCCTTGAAAGTTTTCGTCTACGTGCCTGACCCTCTTTACCCGACACTGAACTGAACTGTCCTTGACGGTCGGAATGGTTCACGATAGCCAGCAGGAGCAGAGAGCAAACGACAGAGAAGACCTTAAACTAAACCTGCCTCCCCGAATGGAGGGGTCCTTAACGAAGTACGAGATGGATATGGAGGGGCGCAATCGAGACTAGTCGGCGCCACTGGACCATCCTGCACGGATGAACGCCCATAGTCGATTGTTCTCCGATCTCACGAATTTCAAGGACGTCTATGCGAAACCGGCTGCAAAAAGAAAGAGATCTAGGAATTTTCTTTTTCTTCTTTTTTTCTTTCTTTTTTTAGCCAAGCTATTTCGCCATTTTCTCTCTTTCTTTCTCTCTTTCTTCTTCACTATCCCCCTCCCTAATGCGATCCTCTCTCTTTCCACTTAAATATACACTCTCCTTTCTTTCTCATAACGCGATGGTTGACGTCATCGAGATTCACATACCATTTCCGTTCGTTTTGTCCAGATGGAGTCTACGCGTGTATCGAGACTATAGAAAAATATTCGAGAAGAGACCAACGAAAAATTTATCTTCAAAGATTTTTATTTAATTCATTAGATATTTTCAAAATTCTTTTATGTATGAAAATATTATATTTGTTATTCGAAATTTTAAAATTTTATCTATCTTTCATTTCCATTTAAAAGATTAATAAATTAATGTTGATCTAAATGCTTCATTGCAAAAACATTCCAATTAAATGCTCACTGAAAACTCGTTTCATCTATGTGCATCCTGATCGCGTTGGTTACAGTCAGCTTCTTTGTCAGAAAGGGGGAGGTGTTCCAAGTATATACACGACACGCATGTAAAAGAGAGAATGTAATCCGAACAAAGAAATGCGTTTTATTCTGGTCGTGCTGTATATCGTTGTCCCGCATTCTTAGGAAAGTTACGCATCTGGACGAGCTCGATACCAATATTCCGTTGATGTGGTAGATACAGAGAAAGATATAACTACATAAATATCAAAATGTATGATTATAAAAGAACGCAAAGGAAGAATGAAATAAAATCTTTAATACAAAAAATTATACGATTCCAAAGTTTCTGAACTTCCAACACATACAAAACAATGTATGAAAATTCTAAAAAAAAACATACTTTTATTTTGATTAAATACTTTCAATAATGAGAACTCGCGGCAATGCGGTATGAGGGCAATTGGAAAATCCTAGGATCAGCAATCTCCGTAAAACCACGAATCGGCAGACCGCGACGTCGAAAGCAGCTGCATACTGGCCAGAAGAGATCACACACGTACACAAAGCACATACGTGAATACACACAAGTTTGAGAGAAAAAGAAAGATAAACGAACAGATAGAGAGATTCACCATGAAATAGAAGATTTTCCAATGACCATGCTCTAGTGTTCAGTAATGTACGAAATGGAAGAGAGACGCAGCGATTTACACATCGTTACAAAAAGAAAACGTGTATATGGATATACACAGCAGACAGACAGAC